ATTTCTGTGAATCATTGGCTGTTACCTAACCAGCTAAATACTGGTAGTAAACAGGACTCAAGTAAACATGCTAAAAAGTTATTGCACATTACTTTTAATGAGACTGGGTGGAATTGGATTGTCTCTAGTTTACGATCAAATTTATTCACCATTTTTAATGGCATTTTGGCACAAAATTAGGAAAGCAGAAAAAGTTCAACCCAGACTTGAATGATAGCCCATAAGATGATAGACTTGCATAAAGTTACAGAGTGCTGCCCCTCTCCCACCTGTTGTTGTTAACATGCCGATTTGAAAGGAAACCAAAAAAGTATTCTTGTAAACTAAAGGAGCATCAGCCATAATTATCAATAAACAAGTGCTGTTTTAAGAAGGAATTACTGTGAATATTTTTACTAGATAAAATAAATTTGACTGTTATGAAGTTTTGTTTTTAATTTTTGAGTAAATAAAGTGATAAATACTTTAATTTGTTTAATAGCCACCATGCCTTCACCAAACATGAGCATTTTTTTTTAAATATACCGCTTATAAAAAGCACCTTGTGCAATCTGGGTCTGTTCCTCCACAGAAACTGACAGGAATCAAAGCTTCTGTTCCCTAACACGTTTTTGAAGAGGATCTTGTCTCTGCAGCAGCCCAGCAGGACTGCAGACCTCAGATCAGTATTCAGTCCAGCCCTCCTAAAGCCTTTGATTTCATGATGGATCCCGGGTGCTCACAGGCTAATGCGAAATGAGAAAGATTCTCACTGGGCCCCCAGTCAAAAGGTCTGTTAGAGATAAAATTGGGTCGAAAGTGAGCGCACTTTTAATTATTTCTGAGGGATTAAAGAAAACACGGCTTTATTTAAAATCTGTGCTTAAAAATGTCACACAGCCCCAGCAGCTCGAGACAGAGGGGAGACATATGAAGTATCCCTGGAATGCTGTACTGAATCTTCCCTCCTAAGTTCATTTATACACTTCTGTGACTAAATGACACGGCGCGCTGACAGGACGCGGCTCCTCCGTGTCCTGATGGCTCCAGACACTGACACAATATTAAAAACAAAGAGAGGGATTCTTCTGCTCCTGTCAGGTGTAGATCAGGCCAAATTTGAGCGCCATGTCGACACTCTGCTCCCCTCTACCTCATTAGAGACTCACAGCTCCTTTTAATCCACGATAACAGCACAAGGCAATGTAGCCCATAATGAGACACGGCGGTACAGAGCGACCTCAGAGACAGAACTATGCAGCCTCAGCATCATCAGCCGTCACTGATAATAACTGGGAATTTAAGGAGGATGAGGATTATAACACATTTTTTCCTGCTTTTTTACTCTCTCCTCACAGGTGGACACTGGTCGGCTGACAAGACCCCCCCCCCCTTCAGGTCCTCAATTGATTATTCATGAAGAAACACTGGACCCGGGAGCAGATATTGGGCTGGATTCTGGGTGTCTATGCCTGTATAAGGACACACAGGTTTGTGTATGCATGGCGGGATCAGTCGCCATCATTGAAAGGCTCATCCCTGTCCTCCCAGTCCTCTCGGCCCACCTTCACCACTGGCAAAAGCAATACCAACTGCATGCTAAACAAACCTGTCTGTTGAATAATTGAAGATCTCAGGCCAGGAGCGAGCAGGTATTAGCATACAGGCCTTATGGGCCCAATCTGCACAGCGACAGGACAGGCCGTGGACTTTTTCTGCTTTTTTTATTTAACAGGATTTTTTTTTATTTATTTAAAAATCCCCCCACTGGTTTCCAATGTAATATAAAAATGTAACCCTGCATGTAGATTTATTTATAAAATGAAGTCAGGAGAAAATGTATTAGATTTGTTTCCTGAATACTTCTTCTGTCTGTCTGACTGGAAGCCCACATGGATGACTCGCCAACATGAATAGCTGACATGCTGAGAGACGATGTGATACGTTCCCTCCTGCATGCAGGTCTCAACAGATAAACCAAACCTCGCCCGTCCTTTGTGACGAAAAAATACTTTAACAATAGTAGATTTTACACACGCTTCACTGCAGGAGGGCAGGTCAGCTTCAGGAGTCCCCGCTCCTCTCTCCGCGGCTCCTCCTGGCGCTGGGCATTAATCCCTGGCCCCCTGTGTGCACCCATCCACTCCCCCTGCTCTCATTAGTGCCGTGTTGGGGGTCTGGGGAGTCTGCAGGCCTGGGGAGGCAGCCTGCTGGTCTCCTCCCAGCCCCCCATCCTACCCCTCACTCAGTCTTTCTCTTCCTTCCTCGGCTGGAGTAATGAGCACATAATCATCCTGGCTCCCTGACAGCAGCAGCGCACCAGAGGGGCATGTGGGCACCTGGCCCAGAGATGGTGTGTGGGTGGAGGGTGGGGGACGCAGGGGGTGTCACACTCTCCAACCTCTGTGCCCAGAGTACACTGCACCCAGAATTAGGGCTTTCTTTCCCACATTAGCTGAAGACGCCTGAACACTACTCGCTAGATAATGAATTTTCTATTGTAATTCAGCGGATCAATCTGTTAGTTTCCCTACTTTTTACACTTTAGTTTAACAAAAAAAAAAGTCAAATGACAACTGAGACAATCGCATTATCTCTGGGTCAGATGCACGTCTGCATGACAACACTGCATCCAGTTCAACCGGTTACACAGAGTCACGTTTTAAGTTTCTTTTTATCAGATTTTAACAAAATTCTAAACTCAAAAACATGACATTGAATTAAATATTCAGAACATCAACGCTGCTAATATTCTGGTAAATTCACTCATATTTTCATGAAACAGAAAACCATGTTTTACAGAAACTGCTCACATGTCCTCAGACACATATAACAAATTTGCTTCATAAAAAAATCTGATATGTGCTTAAATAACAGCTTTTAAAGAAAATAGATGTTGTCTTAATTCAGTTTGGGATAGATAAAGCATTACAAAAACAGAGTAGGGCTGCAACTTTTTTATTATTATTTTGTAAATCGATTAATCTGTCGATTATTTTTGCGATTAATCGATTAATAATCAAACAGCAAAAGGTTCTTAAAGAAGACTTTTTGAAACCAAGTGATAATAAAGCTTTACCACTTTAGGCATTCTAGATAGAGCATATTGACATACAAAAAAGTTTTTTTAACATAAATGCAAAATTTCTGCATAAAAATTTGTTTAATTTTGATATAATTACTGCTCTAAGTGAGTCGCTCTGTCAGCTAAAGGCACATTTTAGAGTCCCTATACTCCATTTAAAAATTAATCAATTACTAAAATAGTTGACGATTATTTCAATAATCGATAAATAACGATTAATCTCATAAATTGTCTCAGCCCTAAAACAGAGAATAAGTGATGGGGGTAATATTTTTTATGTGAAAAAAAAAATGGAAAAACTGCGGAAAAAATTTGATAAAATGAAAAAAACAGAAAAAAGCTGAAAAGATTAAATCCTGTCACAGTCTCTGCATCAATCTAACCATATCAATACGCCTTTGAGCTGTACAAAATGAAATTTCGTACACAAAATGACAACAAAGTTTGTCTAAGTCTAATATTTAGCTGTGTTAACTTATTTTAAGTTAGTAAGTCTGGACATATTATCAATGGTCATATCAACAAACCCATATTATTTCTAGACTTTTCAGGAGTGCAGGGGGCTCTAGGTTCCTGAGCAGGTTAGGTAAGAACAATACTTCCTTTAAATCACCTACTGGTGATGAAACAGCTAAATGGAAACCTGCCTCTTTAAATGCAAATCAAACCCAGCCTCCGGGGAGCTTTGGAGAAACATTTCTCATATAAAATAATTTCATTCCCCACATTCTGAATTTGGTGGTTAGATGTCATCGAGGACATAAAACTAGTAGCAACACTTGAGGGAATTAAAATGAACCAGATACTTTTCTTTTTAATTTTCTCTTTCTATAATGTGGATGTGGATATTTCATTAGGATACATGTCGGCTACATGCCACTGACTGTGCAACAATAACAAGGTCACTATCAGGTCAGCCTTTATTCCAATGAAATATCCTAATTGGTTTGCATCGAGATATAAATCAGATGGATTCCCATGTCCCGCTCGCTGTTTCCCACTGACTGCTCTCAATGAGGACTTTGTAATATTCATCTTTCCAATCAGAGCCAGTGGATAAACCGCAAACTCAGCAAGCACAAGCAGTGAGGACATAGAGGGCCGAGGGGCTAGCTCACCATGTCTCTCTCTTTCTCCTTTTTTTTTGTCTTCTGAGGGATGCATGCAGTGGATGTTTATTAGAATAACTTCCTGGAGTAGAAAAGAGCCCTGATGTAATCACGCAGGTGAGATGTCAGCTAGATGTTCTCTAGGCTCAATGTTATCGCACATTTCCAATCCAAAACACACGTCCCTCAGCGAAAGCCACAAACCAAACAGGTCTGCTAAGGCCCCGCATTGTCTAACCAGAGCGAGACGGGGTGATGACTCGTTCACACCTGTGTGGGAAAGTTCAGGAATGGCAAGGCGCATCAGGCTCCGGAGATTTATGAGGGAGACTGAGTTATTGCGGTGAAGACAGACAGTCATCCCAGCAGCTGGCCTGCGGGTCGCACTGAGAGGCTGGGATTAATGGGAACCAGTAGGTCTACATGCACTCTGTAACTTCATTACTGTATATAACCATGTTATGGTTATAGTTTGATTAAAGCATTTTCTAATGCACTGCAGTAAATGGATTTCCCCAAAACGTTTACATGATTTGTTTGATAATTGGGTTAATGTTCAGTGCAGCGTCGACTGCAGGGAGCGTCGTGAAGGAACAAAAAATATCAGAATCTAAACGTTTAATGGAGTGTGAATTTTAATGGTGAAGCCTCTGCCTTTAATCCGACATGTCAAGCAGCTTATTTGCATTTCAGAATCAAACCCTCTTAAAAAAGAATTTGTTCATGCTGTATAAAGAACACAGAATCTTGTGCTAAATCCAATTATTCAATTTTTTCTTATGTTTCCTGTTTTGGTTTGAACAGTTTTTCAACAAGTCTCTACTCACTAAATGTCCTGGTGTGGGAGAACGGGAATCTTTTATTCCTGCGGAGCCGGGGACGTCCAAGAGAGGCCATTTCATCTGCAGGTACTGTTGGAACGAGAAAAGGACAGGTTAACAGTCTCACATTTACTGCATTTCATCCAAAACTAAATCCTTAATAAAAAAGACAATGAACAGATTCAAATAAAAGCCACATGTCATTTAAATCAATATACTTTCTTTTTTTTTTCACCTTCGTCACATTACATTCAAAAGCATATTTTGGGGTATTTTAGGTGATGGGCAAACACGAAATAGTGTTTAACAGTCAAGTTAAAGGACAACAAGCCTGCTTCTGTAGGTTTCAAAACAAAGTTTAACATTCAAATTTATTCAGCTTTCCAGGTCAGAACCATGATGACACAGCTACGTTTCAGTGCTGGCATTGTGTGTTTCAAGTGCTATGAATTGTTAGTTTATCATGTAGGAACATTTCTCGTAACCTCCTCAGAAACATCTCTCTTTTAGCCAATCTTCCATAGAAGGCAGACCTGAGCTTAGGCTCTCTGTAGACAAGGGGTCTCAAACTGGTGCCAGAAAGGGTCTTGTAGCTGCAGGTTTTCTTTCCAACCAAGCAATGGCACACCAGACTCAAATAATTTCATGAACTGAGTGCAATCTCAACATGATGACTTGATGAGATGAATGGAGTCTGGTGTGACATTGCTTGGAAAGAAAACCTGCAGCTACACGGCCCTTTCTGGAACCTGTTTGGGACCCCTGCTATAGACCATGAAGCCTTCTGACTGCTATCAGGCTGCTTAGCTTAGCTGAACCAACGCATCCTGACAGGAGAGTTCTTGGACCTTTTCCTCTTTAGTTCTTCAGTTTTGGATTGACCTCTGACCTCTGAGACATTTAAAATTTGAGATACTGTATTAAAACCAAACTCTTTTTTAAGGTTCTCTGTAGCTTTAACAGCATGCATTATGGTCTGCATAATACAGACTTCAACTATTGCAGTAGATGCTATTTAGGTTCATCGGAGTTAAAATATAAAAGCATGCCATCTTCTGATTTTTATTGGAAAATAAGATTTAGCAACACAAATATGCTAAATAGGGTGTGATTACTTTTGCATCTGTGTGTGAATATGGGAGTCAAACACTCATGTACGAATATGCGTCTCGTCTTCTCCGTGAGAAATGACAAGAATGGCGTCAAAGCCCCAGAGGCCGAGGCTGAACACCTGTACAAGACCCACATAGCTGCTGGAGTCAAGGCAGGGAGTTTCTGGCAGGAAGACTGATGTGAACGCAGCGGACTGGTGAGCGACTGTGAAATTGCAGTTTGTCAAGGAAAAACAAGAGGCCAGCTGTGGGCGCCCATTGCTGCGAGGGTGGGAAGAGACAGCTGGAAGGAAGCCCCATCTCCAGACCTACGAGAGGCTGAGCTGAACGCTCTGAGCTCGCTCCCTGACTGTCCGCCTGTCCAATTCGTTTGGCCTTTTGACCCAAACGCAGCCCCCTCCTCCTTCTCCACTATCACCATAATTCTTACATGTGTGAAAGCCATCATAAAGAGCCTTGTGTTTCTGCTGCTTCTCCCTGATTTTGTCACTTGTCACAGAAAGTTTACAACCACCGGTCCATTTGGGACAGTCGCTCCTTATGGAGCTGTTATGATCAATTGTGAATTAGAAGAAAATGTTTCTTCTATCTGTTTCTTTTTTGGTATTTAGAAGTTAAACAGTGATTTGCTTTCATATATGTGCTTCAGCAATGCAGATAGCCTGAATCTGTTGCTCCAAAAACACAGCAAACATCTGGTTTGTAAATCAGTTCAAACACCGGATACAGCAACTTGTCACGCTTCTCTATCTGGTATAATTTTAAATTAATAAACGACAATGTTTGGCTCATCTAGGTCCTTGTCGAGCAGAAATGCAAAGGTATCATTGGTTTCATTGGTTTCAAAGTTTGTATTTCAGCTATAAATCCTCCCTAGAGGGAGAATCCCTTTGGGTTCCTGTACATTTTTCCTTTCTTAATGACAGACTTTCCTAAACCCAGATTATTTAAGGAGGGATGGATGGATGGACTGCGAATACAGTGAAGCAGAGAAGCTCAACTATCATGAAAAAATGGAAAAGAAAGGAATTGAGATAATTTATCTTTCATAGATTTCCTTTTCAATACCCTTTAAGAGACTAAAAAATGCTACTTTCAACGTTTGTTTCTACGTTCTGTTTCGGAATCCCGCTCTTTGAACTTTGCCATCGAAGGCTATGTAGGATTGTACGTGTGAATTCCTCCGCATAGACAGTTTAGCCCACACCCTTTGCACAAATCTGATAAATGATAACAGAAAATAAATAGCATCTGACACTTGGGGGAAAAAAAAAACTGAAAAGGCAAATCTGGCCTAAGAATCTTTGCAAAGCTTTGTCTTCTTTTCAGAACCGTGCAGGATAAATGACGACAAACAAGCAAACTGGAGGAGTCGCACATTCAGGTCTGGATTTTTAAAACTCCATTCGTCACTCCGGATTTGTAAAGAGGAAGGAAGGTTGGGTGACTGTGGGTTAAAAATGGAAAAGACATTATAGTAAGAGGGAGGAAACGGAGAGGAGAGGAGAGGGGAGGGAAGGAGAAGAAGAAGAAAAAAAAACATTTTCAGGAATGAGTTTGTCGGAGCAGGCAGAGGGTATTGTTTCCTGACAGCTGGGGTCCAACACAGCACCAAAGCAGGGGGAAGGGGGTCCCTTTTCCCTTGGAAAAAAAAAGGAGGGGAATTCTTGGAGTTGACATCAGCCCTCTTCATTTTCACTATACTGCTCAAGGCTGAATCGTAGGCTCCAGCTAATGGGCCCGAGTCCATACAACTGTCAGGAGAAAGTCGCTTTTAAAGGCTGCTAGCTCTCCATTGAAACTTTGCTCTGCTCTGTGCATGGCGCCTAATGAATGCTACTCTCTGGAGAGAGAATTCAAAACAATGCCGTTTTCACTGTCTAATCTATGTCAATCACAAACCTTTCCTCCAGTGAAACAAGCGCCACTGCGAGCGTTTCGGTTTGGACCGCCCGTGCCCACCCCAGCTCTCCCACCCGATCCCATCCCGTATTTGACAGCTTCTGCCAGGTCTATGGAACATGCCCCCGGGCGCTTTTTTTTTTCCTGAGCACCTACTTTTGCTTCTAATTGCCAGTGTGCCCTGTGTAGTGACTGTTCACACACACAGTACCCTGAAACATCGTGCGAGGTAACAGCAGTCGCACACTGTCACATTAGCTGCTGTCCGGACTCCACTCGCTGGGACATGAGAGGCAGAAAGGGGGTGGGAAGGTTGCCTGAGTTGTTTCAGGAAACAAAAGGCGAAGAATTGTGAGCTATACCATTAAAAAAAAAACTTTCTCAGCTATTTTACTGCAGAAAACTGTTGGAAAAAAAGTAAGAACAATAAAATCTGGATTTTTGAAATAGCTATGCCAAGGCTTAAGTGATATTAGATGTTTGTGAGAGATTGAAACTTAGATAAAGTAATATCAGCCCAACTGCAGGGCATTCAGCTAATGCTTCACACATGGCCTTGTTTTATTAGAAGTAAATACAGACATATGGTGAGGGCCCATAGCTATGCTTGTTTCAGCATGGGACCTGGAAACTCTTGTAAATGTGCTCGGATGGAGAACTGAAAGAAAACAGAATCTGAAGAGAACTTTAGTTGATCCATTTTCGTCGCTCTCTAATTGTCTTCCAGCTTTCCCTGCTGCCACCAACGCTCAGAATAGACATCAGTAGAATGTGCTAGTTTTATAAGAGGCCCAGATGCGACAAAGGTGGCAGTGATGCCACCGAAATTTTTCCAACGAGCCACACTGGAGCCCTTTTTGGTTTTTTGAACAGAGAGAATGCAACATATGCTCTGGGGCATGCGGCCTGCCAGAGCCGGGTTCTAATTGTTACATTGCTCTCGCAGAGCGGGAGGGAAAAAACACGGCCAAGTGTCTTTGTCATCTCTGAAGTGTTTGCGGTGCCATACTGCAGGCCGACATCAGAGCACGGAGAGGAGACAGATGTCCCGGACATTTGCTGTCAAACTAAGTCAGAACGTCTGCCAAAGATAGAGAAAAAGGATCCCAAAGTTTGCTAGAAACTATCTGACGACTTGAGGGGCCGCGCTGAGGATGCAATGAAAAGTTCGGTGACTAAAAGGAAGTTTAAGAACATGCACAGAAAATCAGACGGCTGTAATACTTATTACAGGGTAAGAAATCTGCACCTTTTACACACATCAAGAGGTCTGATATCAATTACAGATTGCTAACAGATAAACAGGTTTTATCCTTGTCTTCATACATATCCTGATCTAAAAAAAACTTTTCCCTACTTTTAATGACTGATAATAAAAGCAGGAACCCTGCAATTATTACCCGACCTCATTTGCATGATGAACCAAATAAGATTAGTTCATCAATTAGGAGCAAAAAACAAATAAAGGGAGTAAATAAAAAGTACCAGAGCAGACGTGGCCTTGCCTTGCTCATGGTAAACAGCAGAGCAGCATGAATGCCTGTGCAGATCGCTCCAGCAGATAATGTCACTCACCTACTGAGTGGAGAGCCCCTCCCCATTGTTTTCTTTTAACCCCCTCCTTCCCCCTTACAGAAAACAAATGGGGCCACACAGCTTGCTGTTTGGCTGAGGTGTTAATTACCATCCCCTGCAAACTTCAGACAATAACCCTGTCGGGCCCCCTGCATGCAAGCTCCTCCCGGGTTTGCTCTGCAGAGATCACCTGCTCTCACCGGGCCATTGACACCTCGACCTGATGTATGCACGAAACACAATTAAAAGATTACAGGACAAAGCCAAAGTGATAAGTAGAGGTCCCACCTTGTCTCAGAGCTTGAATTGAGTCCCATTGTTTGCCGACATTAGAAGCAATTACACTAACAATTCTTAAGCAAACCACGACAGTCTTTGTGCTAATTAGTGTGTAATCGATGGGGAAATGACAAGCGGCTCAGCTGGTAAGACCAGCAACATGCAACACGGTCATTCTCCTAATGGGGAATATAAGGTATTTATTAATTACACATTAAATAA